ATTCTGTGATTCTGTGATTCTGTGAATGTAAGTAGTAGTAAGTAGTAGTAGTAAGTAAGTAGTAGTAGTAAGTAGTAAGAAGGTAGTAGTAGTAAGTAGTAGTAGTAAGTAGAAGTAGGTAGTAGTAGTAGTGAGTAGTAATAAGTAGTAGTAAGTAAGTAGTAGTAGTAAGTAGTAGTAGTAAGTAGTAAAATGTGCTCTCGCAAGGTGTGTGGTAGAGGCATGTTCTTTATTTCTGTGTCTCTATTCATAAAAAATGCAATGCACGCTTTGCTATACATTATTATACATCGTTTTTATACTGTGAGAAATGAAATTAAAATATCAAAGAGAGAAACCCAGGAAAAGCCAGACTGGTTGAGACCAGTGGTTCAACCGGTATCCTGTCTCCAGCACTGGCTGGTATCAGATGCTGCAGATAAAAGTAGAAGAAACCGTATAGTAGCCTGTTATGAATTAACATGCCCAGGAGAGAAGTTTCTTCCTGACCCTCATCAGTTAGCGGTTGACTCACATGCCAAAGCATACATTTCTATACACGCTTACGTCTTTCTATCTATCTATACCAAGAAGCACGTGACAAAACGCTAAACCAGACTCCGGGTACTTTCTCGTATAGGAAAGTCATCCCGAGGAAAGCATTTTCTTTGCCGCAGGAGGCTCACTCAGTACATACCCAGCAGAGGGAAAGGCAGCTGAGATTTGGAGCTTAAGAAAGCAAACGGCTTTTACAAACAGCACCTGAAATGTGCACCTCTTGAAGGTATTTTTGGGATTTTAATTACATATCTCAGTAGTATCTCATCTCGCTGAGTAGTTTTACCTATGTAATTAAGCAAATACATGTGTCTAAGTACTTGTAAAGTGCCCGGTTTGGCAGATTTCACGTTAGACACTTTTTCTTTTGCTGAAAATCATAGGAAAATCACAGAAAAACAGGGTTGGAAAGCTCAAGGCAAGGCTGACCATTCTGCATCACTCCTGACAGCTGACGTCTCCAACAGGGTCTCGAAAGCCACCACCACAGAGGTTACACACACCCCACATCCATCCGTGCCCACCTTCTTTACATTTCCCAATGTCCAACTTCAACCTCTCTGGCTTCAGTTTAAGCCCAAGTTTCCCGTCCTACCCACCAGGTGCAGGCAACAGATTGTCCCTCTCTCTTGAATTTTTCTGTCTGAGAACTGTTTCTTTGTTTCCTAACCCTTTTTTGGACTGAAACACCTTATTTCCCCATTTCCTCCCTGAGACGTTTTCTAGATCTCCAGATTCTCTTCAAATTGTCCCACATCTTTCCCAAACTACGGTGCCCAACACTGAACAAAGTAACACAGCCAAGATCTTTCAGAGACAGAGGAGTGTGGAAGGATTACTCCACATGTCTTGAAGGTTATATTCTATTTTATACAACCTGGATGGGGATTTTTTCCAACACCACATAATTACTGAGACCCCTACACATTATCCTACATCCCTTTCTGTTTTTTGGACTATTTCCCCCATGCCTGCCAGTGCTCAAATCCAGAATACAGTAAAATGTTTTCTGCTGCAGTTATAGATAGATGCTGATGATGATTCAGCATATCAAAAAGGCTAATTAATGAGCTTTGGAATAATCACCTTCCCCCAGGCTTGTTAATATGCTGGATTTTACCTAAAGGGATCACACATATCCAAAGAGAAGTGCTAGCAAGAGAGAAATGCAAGATACATTAAAATAATGCAGCACTGCACTACTACATGGAGTAAATCTGGGGAAGAAAGCTTTGGCACGTTATTTTTCTTCATTAAATGTGATGAGCTCATACAAACTTTCACTTAGTCAGAGTGAGGTGAATGATTCGTCAGAGCTAATTTTAGCAGCCTAAAGTTAGGCAGCATTTCCACAACAGTCATCGCATCTCCGTCAACTATGAACACATCCGATTGCCTTCAGCTCCCTAAAAAGCCAGAGGGAGATGGGATGAGCTCGCCTGTGAAGACAGAACAGCACAGAGAGACTCGACCAGTAGGCAGACACTTCATTTCTTGATGGCTGAGGTGACATAAATCCCATTTTAGGCAACCACAAATTCAGAGAGAATTATTTTTATGTTAGCATAATTAAACACCATGCAAATTAACCGTAATGGTCATGGAAAATACACATGATGAGATATTGCTTATTGAATAATCCCAGAGATGAGCAGAACATTGAACTTCTGTGTTACAGACGACTTCAAAACATGAACGTTTTCTTTTTTTTGTTCCGAATGTAGCTGACATGGGAGCAGGTTGAACTTCTCTGTGAAGGATCATCGTTACAGCGTCATTTCAGATGAACAAAAATACTTCACTCTGACAGAATCACACCGTTTGGTCTCCAGACTGATCTTTGCCTTTTTAAAGCAGCATAATACACTGAAAAGAAAAGCAAGGCTGGCATTCTGAAATGAAAGACATTGTGACTTAAACTATTGCAATGTATTGGGTTCAGTTATTCCTGCCAGTTTGCTCCCTTCTAGAAAGAACAGCCCCACAGATTCACCAGTGTAACCCTGGAGAGGTGCAGTGGAAGAGTAACCGTTTATTGTGATGGTAGGGGAGTTTCTCTCCTAAAGAGACTGGGAACTTCCCAAATAAATCAGGCAGCTTTGAAAAATCTGACCTAGAGGGCACACGACATTGTTTTTGTTCCCTGCCGAGATCATTATCTGTCTCTGGGTATGTCCCTGCAGGGTAATAAAGTTTACAATAAGTTTGCTCAAGTCCAGTAGCTGTCTAGTCAACCCAAATGGAAGCTGCTTTCTTGTGCCAGTGCTAAACCATTGCTGATACCCACCCTAACCAGTACCAAGCTCCTTCTAGCAGCTCAGTGATGTATTACAATGTAGGCATGCTGTCAGTGAGGTTTATAATATAAATACTTGTGCATATGAGCTCATTGTTTATATTCTAAAAGCTACGCTGGGACAATTTGCTGGAAGTGATTTTAATTGCAGTAAAAAGCTAGATTTGGGACTCTATTGATAGCCTACTTAAGGTCACAGCTGCTTTCTGGTACGAAGTTTCTCCAGAAGGCTCATTGCCAGTTGTCCCCGGGTTTTCTGGCTCTTCACAACTGGTGATGAGGGCGACTGCACTAAATGACTTTTGGTTAGTACTAAACGGCTTGATCTCCAATGCTGATGTCTCTGCTTCTTTTTCCTGGGTCTTCTCAGTTCGGTTCCACTCCTGCTCCTTCCGATCCAGTTGCATGGCACTGCAGTGAGGGGCATAAACTTCCGTGGTTTCTTCAAACTGTAAGCAATCCACCTTATAGTATTTTTTCTTTACATGTAAGACATCGTTAAACCTATGACCCCAAAGGATCTCTCTGGGGACATAGGAGCTTCTTGACTGATGTGAAGTTCCTGTTGAATCACCTGTGTAGACAAACGTGACCAAGATTTCGAAGTTGTCCTTGGCCAGAGCTTTCCGGTCTAGGCCGTACAAGGGGCTCTCGCTATCAATTTCATGGACGACTGTCACTGGTGTAACCAGGATGATCTGGTCATTTAGCAGCTTCAAGTCCTTGTACTCCATCGTCATTCTCCCCTCCTTGTCTTCCTTGTAGCGCAGCAGCTGGGCTCGTACGGAGCCCTCAACCATGTGATTCGGCCGGAAATCACCAATGCGCCACATGAGGCAAAATTTGTCATCCCTCAAGCCAACTACGGCGTAGTAGCTGAAACGAATGGTTTGAGCTCTTTTTCGAGCTGTGGCCATTTTAGCCAAGGCTGCTCCGATGATGAAGGTGTCAATGATGCAGCTTAACACCGACTGCAGGATAACCATGAGGATCGCCACCGAGCACTCTTCTGTAACGCAGCGGTAACCGTAACCGATGGTCGTCTGGGTTTCGAGGGAGAACAGGAAGGCTCCTGTGAAGCTATGGACATTTGCAACACAGGGGGTTATTTCTTCATCGTTGAACAAATCTCCGTGCTGGATTGCTATCAGCCAGAAGACCAGTCCAAAGAACAGCCAGGAAAGAACGTAGGACAACGAGAATATCACAAACATGTGGCGCCACTTGATGTCCACCAGTGTGGTAAATATGTCCACCACGTAGCTCTCCCATTCCCCAAAGATGTGTTTGAAGTACACATTGCAGCTGCCGTCCTTGTGGAGAAACCGCTTCTGCAGTCTTTTCATCCCCACTTCAGTGCTTTCTTGACAAGAGCCTCGGTAACTGCTCTTGTTTCCCTGTACGCTCACAGGCCTATAGCAACCACTCGGTTCCGTCACCTTTCTCATCTCTGTTCTTTACAGAACACACTTGCGGTCCCGGGGGCTATTTGTTTTCTTTGTTCATTGGGTATCTACGAAGTAAAAGGAAAAGTTTATTTTTGTTTCAATTTCCTACCCCAGAACACCAAATCTAAATAATCCGTGGCAATCATGAGCAATTTTCTGAAGAGTACGGACTCTGACATTCATTACACAACACGGCTCAAAAACTTAGGCCTGGAAATATGAGGCAGGTAGCAATTGAACCAGTTGGAAATGTCCACATTAATCCTAAAATTTGGCATGTAGATGAAAACAGAGATCAAGAACCTCTGCGGTGACCCCACTGTGAGCACCTCTTCGAATGTTCTGGGGAAGTAACACTCAAATCAGGATGGGCTCTCATGAACAGTCACAGGAATGGCATGAAGTCCCTTAAAGTTGGCCAAATATTTGAGGTATTTAATGATTGGTTTGCTGCATGTTTGTTTGTTTTCCTCCGTTAGAAGAAATGCGTAAGGAAACACCCTCATTTAGACATAAGACTTCAGTAGCACGGGCAGGCGAGTTCAGTGCTAATGTGTTTTAACCAGAAACTGTATCAACCACACAATCGTTCATCATTATTTGTGTTTCGGTTTCGCCCAGAAAAAACCTGGTCATGGAATGGAACTTTACTGAGCTAGTGCTACAGGGACATATTTGTTCAATTTGTAGAAAAGTATTTACATCTCAAATGAAAAAGAAACCTCTCTGAGGTCCTGGAAAGCTTCAGAAATCATTCCTTAAAGCAAACAAACAGAAATCTCCGGCTGCCAAAATGTATTTAAATTTTTGTTAATGAGTTTGGAAAAAAAAACCAACCGCAGTATGTTAATAAAATCTGTGGATGACACAGATTTAGGAAGTGATGTGAGTTAGGAGATTCCTATGTCAAATCAGAGAGAAAAACGGATGTCTTTGCAACCACATGAACTTCAGCAGTGCGAAGTGCGAGGCTGTCCATTAGTGACTAATAAGTTCATTAGCTTCTAACTTCTGTTAGAAATAAGAAATTAGTTCCTAATAAATTAGTTTCTAACGGAGACCTCATCAACTGGAATCCAATAAAAAAGGAAAGACTTAGCTGAAGTAATCGGTTCCAGGATGCTTGTGAATTACTCGTAGGATCCAGCACTGAAAAAAGGCAAATGCCTTTTCCTGCAGGTCTCCAGCTCGTTCTGCCGCACCCCAACTGCTGACACACAGACATGTCAGAAGCGACAGGCTACACGGCTAGAACAACTCCAAATTTTTGCCAAATGTCATGCTTCTAACTGATGTTTATGAAGAAAAAAAAAGCTCGTCTTCTTGAGGAAAACCTGTCATTGTTATTCCAAAACCGGTACATTTTCGATGGAAAAATGACAAGCACTTCTCCCATTTTGAAGCTGGATTCAGCTGACAAAAGTTCAGATGTAGGTTTACAATGAAGCCAACATATTCATGGAAAATGAGTTTTAAGAAAAGTTTCCTAGCAGTAGTCTTTTTCCTCAGCTCTTAATTCACTTTCCTGAGTAGAAATGAGTGCACACACTGCGAGGCAGAAGGGAGTCAGGCCCGTGGAGTGTAGCATATATTGGATGGACTGCATTAACAGACTGAGAGCTCTTCTCCCATCCAAGGAACAATGACAAGCATGCACAGACACTATTCCAAAAACACTTAAAAGCCAAACATAGTTTCCATTTCTTTTTTCTTCCTTTTTTTTTCTTTTTTTCTTTTTTTTCTTTCAGTACAGAAATGAATGTGACATATGGTGTCGTAGCCTCAGAATGTGGCCTTCATTAAAAAACACAACATTAATGTTTCCAAAAATACTCCTTGGAATACGGTCTTTGGAAACATTCATATGACTTGCTTTACTCATAGCTTTAAACAAACACTGTAGCCTCGTCTGCTGAAGACTCTTGACCTAACGTTTTATAAGTCACATTTAACAACAAACAATAACTGGAAACTGTTATGTTTTTTAAGGACCTCATAATGTGAGGTGTGAAAAAGAAGCAAATTGTAATCGGGAGCCAATATAATCTTAAATAAAAAACATACTTTGGCTTATACTGTCTTTATTATTGACTGACTCGAACTAGAGTTCCTTGAAAATACAACCAACCCGGACTGCAAACTTCAGAAACTATAAATTTCAAATCTTGACAAGTAACTTTAGACTAAGTTGCTTTCATTTCTCCCATTACAAAACACCGATCCTTTGTACAAATTTGACTTATTTCAGATCTAAGCTACCTAAATAGTATTTTTTACAATTGCTGCCCCTCATTTCTTTTCTTCCTAGGCCATTCTACACCCTCCCCTAATTCAGTTCCTATCAGCAGCCTGTCACGAACATTTTTCTCTCCACCTAGCCTCAGCAGTTTGCCATTTACAAATCCTTACACCTGGAACCTACAGAACAGTGCTCTAACTCCAGATTGATGCCCAAAGACAAAATATTGAGCGGTCTCTCAGGCATCCCTTTGGGGACGTCTGTCAGCTCAAGCCCTGCACTGCTGGAACACGTTTGTGTTTTCCTATGCCCTGTCCCTTTATTAGCTGAGCAAAAATGCCACGACCCTTGGACCCTAGGACCAACCTAGTCCCCAGCCCTGGGACTTTAAATGGGACTAGATATGAATTGAAGGCTACTGAGTTGATTCCACTCTCTGCTGTTGCCATCAGCAAATCATCGTATTTCAAAAAATGGTGTTTTGCTGGCACCACCTTTAGATTTTGGTGGTGCTGGCAAGAATCATGGACTGTCACACATGCAGCAATGTGGGAAAGTCCACTCTGGTTTTATGGAGTCAACACTGATTGTGAGGCACCTTGCATTAGGAACTCTACTTAGGGTCCCTCCTAAATAGATTGCAGTAATATATCTATATATATATACACACACATATATATACATACATATATATATATATATATTTCTATATACACACATATATATACACATATATGCTCATCCATGCCTGTGATGGGTTTTTGCCTGGTAGAAATGAAGCCATGTACTAAGATGCTAGATTGGATTTTGCAAAACAATGAAAAGTATGTCTGTAATGAGAAAGGGAAGGGATGCAGAGCATCCTAAACCAGAACCAAATAATCTAGCCCAGAAGCTGGATGGAGTAAAAAAGAGCCAGTGCAGAGCAACACTACCAGACATATATTGCTTTCGGGATCTGAGTTAATCTTTCTCCGTCGTGTTGAAAATTGGATTGCTCAGAGCCATTTGGCATTGCACAGTGGAGACGTGCCCCAGATGACCTAAAATCCCAAATGTGCTTGAAAGTCTTAGGAAATAGCCTCCTCAGCCACTCAAAAACATCTAAAAATGCTGCCCAGTATTCTGGGTGTGCTTAAGGCTAAGCCAAATCCCAACTTTTCCAGGCTACCTCTTAGAGTCTCTGGAGTGCGGTAATAATCATGCATCATAATTAATATCTCTTTTACGTTGTCTGATGTTGCTCGGAACATTTCAGTCTACAAAAACATCCTTCGATGTTTGGGAATTATGTAAGGCTGTGTTATGATCTGTACTTCATTCATGGGGACACTTTTAACCAGGCACGTGATTTCCCTGTTCCAAATGAGAGGTGGCGAGGCTGTGCAGCCAGATGTTCGTCTGAGACACGCTGCCGTCTGCAGAGCAGTCTGAAGACTATTATTATTATTATTATTATTATTATTATTATTACCCAGTTTTAAAGGGGAGAAGACTACAGACTGACAACCAGACTTCTGAACTTCACTCTCAGAGCCATTTCAAAAACCTTAGTTTTCAAAATGGAAATATTTTACACATCCCTAAGAAAGCCATACGAATTACATTAAAGGTCCTCCTACCTGGTAAAGATTAACGAAGGGGGTGGGGGAGGATTTGAAAACATTCTCTCCTCACTAACGCTCACGGATCAGTTGCTGCAAATGACTCTCAGATGTTGCCAGGAAGCGTTTTCACCTTCCTCTCACAGCAACACACAAACCCTCGCCCTTTTTTCTCTTGCTTTTACTTTCTGTGGTTTGGGTTGTTTGGGTTTTTTTTTTCCCCTTCATTTCTGGGCATGTTTGTACACATCATGAGCCTCCTCTTGCATACTGACTCTTGTTCAGAGGAGGAAGTGTGCAGAAATTCGCAGCACTTTTCCTAACCATTCTTATAAACATATTTCCCCTCTATATAAAAACTTATCAGAGAGAAAAATGGAGCCATGAAGCTCAGAAAGAAGACAGAAATAGAGAAATATCCAAGATTTCCTAAGGATAAATGGCAGAGAGCTTTAGAAGTTCTTCTAAAGCATATATGTATCAGACTTGGGGTTCAGAAAATCAGCATATATAATTATTATTATATATGTTCTTAATTACCTAAGCCAAGGCTGGGATCTTACTGTGTATCTATCAGCTGTAGGAGAAAGGTAAGTAAATTCCTGTGTTTCAAAGGTCATAAAGCAGTGCAGTGGCAGCAATAGGAACAAACCCAACACCTACCTATAGCTGTGAAGAGCTACCACAAAGCAAACACTGTAAGACACAAGTCTTTTTGCCATGTTTATCATCTTCATCTCGGTCCTCATGAACAGAGCAGCTGTACCAGAACTTGAACTCTTGATTTGCATCAACTCGCTCAGAACAACAGTAACTTAAAAGCCCTAAGCACCGAGTTTAGCCTTTTAAAGACTTCCACTAAATCTAATTGTCAATTTAATCTTGATATTTTGAGTTGAAAGCTCAGAGTTTTATGAGGATAATCCCTATATTGCACCTTAACCTAATACCCAACAAATTGTCGCTACGCCCACTTTATGACTGTATTTTCCCATTATGTAAACAAGTAGGGGTGAATTTTTGTTCAGTGACAACTCCAGTCAACAGCCTGTTTGTACAACATTAAGCAAAACAATGTGAAGACCTTGGTTCCAGAATAATTCTGTTCTGAGATCAAATCGAAAAGAAAACAACTGGAACCCTCCAAGTGCAACTGG